ATGTCATTTGGGAACTGGAGAGAGAGTACAATGGGTAAGTCCGTTGCCTATGTGAAGCTGATCCAGATTCCATCCCCAGCACCATATACAGTCTTCTGAGTCCTGCCAGGAGTGATTCCTGAGCAGAGGCAGGATTAATCCTTGAGCACTACCTGGGTGTAGCGTAAAAACAACTACAAAAAGGCACTTGGGGTCAGAGAGGTGGTAAACTCCCTAGTGGTCACTCTTGAGCACAGCGCTAAAGAATAGCTCTGAACAGGTGAGCCCGACCCGCCCCCCCCCCCCCCGCCCCGACCGTGGCACTCGCCTCCCCCCAACACAACAACAAACAATAAAAGTGCCACTTGCACTTCCTTGCTTTTCCAAGAACGTGTTCTCTCTTGGACATGTATCTTTCTTTCTCTCCTTTACTTTTGCTTCTCTGGAGAAGCTCGTTTTCCACGTTGTCTCTGTCTCTCTGTCTCTGTCTCTCTGTGTCTCTGTCTCTCCCCCCTCCCCCACACCCCTAAATTTGCTTTAAAAATGAATTAACTAGGGAAAAAAGTGATAGTACAGAGGGAAGTATGCTTGCCTTGCATGCTGCTGATCGGAGTTCAATCCCTGGCATCCCATATGGTCCCCCAAGCCTACCAGGAGTGATTCCTGAATGCAGAGCTAGGAGTAAGCCCTGAGCATCACCAGGTATGACCCAAAAACAAACAAAAATTAAAAAGTAATTAAATTTTCACTTTCACTTTCAAATACTCAATCTAATTTGCTTGCTAGAACTACATTATTCATTATATAACTTGCTGAAAATATAACTACTGATTTGGAATTATAAAGACTTTATAATTTTAAATGTTTTCTAATGCAACATTTAGAAATGTTGAAACTCAGTGAGGTGAGTGATAAGTCTATTTATGTGCCTGTTTGTATTAGGAAATAATTTGCCAATTGAATAATTTGAAGAAAGTCGGCCTCTTTTCACAGAAGTCATTTGATTGAGATCTAAGAGAGAAGATTTTAGAAAGCTTGTTCAGTAGCAGAGGAAGAAGAAAAATTTGTTGTGGCACATTCTTAGGCACCATTCAAGTCTAATTACAAAGCATATTATTTTATTTTGTTTTGTTTTAAGGGGGAGGCTCAGGGGACCCTGTGCAATGCAGGATTTTACTGGGGTTGACCACATACAAGGCAAGTAGCTTATTTAAAATATTTATGATATAATGTTCAGTTAAAAAAAGCCAACATACATTCCTCCCCACCTCAATGGGGAGGGGACCCTAAATGAGACCCCGAGTTGCTGCCCACAAATGGCCTCTCAGGCTCTTGATCAAGCTACTTAATGGCCATGATCCCAGAGACAAGGAAACAAATCTCGGAACCCAGCGGCTTTTGGCAGAAATGTGTCCGGACTCCTCAATGGGTTACTGTCACCGGGACACCCCAGGGGAGAAAGGGTGCTGTCCCTCCACCTGCTCCCCCTAGACAGCTTGATGGGCGCCATCCTCCAGAGGCCATTGGGCAGTAAGGTTTGGGCCCTCAGTGATGAGACACGCAGGGCCTCATGGGATGGGGGTGCAGCCGGCCCTTTCCTCCCTGTCCCAACAAGACCCTGAGTCGCTGCCCATGAACAGCCTTTCTGGCTCCTGATCAAGCTGCTTAATGGCCATGATCCCAGAGACTCAGGAACAAATCTTGGAACTCAGCAGGTTTTGGCAGAAATCCCTCTAGATTTAAGTGATAAAATTTCGGAATTTCAAAGTCACGCAGCCACTACTGCAGCCACACGACATCATGTGTTATTCATAACCAGTAATAGAAAACAAATTGTCTACTGTTGCCTTTTTGGCAGATCTGAGTGTTGGGGTAAAATTCCAAATAATAATGGTGGGTGTGGTGTTGAAATAGAGAATGTGATAAATGTAGAGAGAGAGAGTAATGTGAAAATCATCTGCCCCACAGGTAGGGGGAGGGTGTGGGATGGAGGCATACTGGGGTTTTTGGTGGTGGAGGGTGGGCACTGGTGAAGGTACGGGTGTTTCATTGTATGACCAAGACTTAGACCCAAAAGCTTTGTGACTGCTCTCACGGTGATTCAATAAATAAAATTATAAGAAATGAAAAAGAAAAGAAAGTAAGGTGGAGTTCATGCCCAATTCAGTCACTAATCAGTGACTGAATGGATAGCAATACTCCTACATAAGAAAAATAAAAAAAAAACAACATAAGTATGATTTAAAATATGTATAAAATATTTAGAGAAGATGGAAGGGTATTAAATCATAGGGGATTATATATTCTTAAAATTGGTATTCTTTTATATTTATAATAAAAATTAAAAAGCATGTGCATGATAAATCAGTTGGAGGACTTGGTGACAAGTGGCTAGATATGTGTATGTTTTTTATGTAACTGTATTTTCAGGGTGGGCTACACTTATTCCTGATGCTACTACAGAGAGTGGAGTATCAGGAATTGAACCGAGGACTTTGTACATGCAAGGTTATGTGCTCTACCACTTGACTCACATTTTCTGGTATGGCTCACAGTTAAAAATTATTTTAACATTTTTTATTTATTTTAAAATTTTTAGATTCTAAGCCCCGTGACTTATAATACTATTAATGAAAGTGCTTCATGAATACAGTATTTTAAAACCACACCACTACCAGAGTGTCTGCCTCCCTCCACAGTTGTCCCACTATTGCCCCCCTGCCCCTGCTCCCTGCGAACCTTCTAAGCCTCTATTCTGTAGACCAATTTTCAGGTTCTGTTGCCTTTCACCCTTTATTATTCCCTTACTATGTTTCTTTATCCCCCGCATAGGAGAGGGATCATTCTGTATCTGTCCCTCTCCTCACTCACTTCACTCAGTATAATACTCTCCGGATCTTGGGCCAGAGGAGTATACAGCAGGTAGGGTATTTGCCTTACATGCAGCTGACCCAGGTTCCATCCCTGGGTCTCCTAAGCACTGCCAGGAGTAATTCCTGTGTGCAGAACCAGGAGTAACCCCTGAGCATTGCTGTGCGTGACCAAAAAGCCAAAAACCAAACAAACAAAAATATCTCTCAGGATCCATCCACATAGTGACAATTTGCATGATTTTATCTTTTTCTTATAGCCAAGTAGTATTCCATTATGTCTGTGCACTGTAGAATCATATTTCATTTTGTTATAGGGACCATACTCAGCAGTGCTTAGAAGACTGTGGGCCCACTCCCTGCAATTCTTGGCTTGCCATGTGTTTCCATGACCATTCAGCACTCAGATCAGTTTTGGAGGCCACCAAGACCACCCTGGCATTGCCCATGAGTTACCAGAGTCATCTGTAAGATGCTCTAGAGGGCCATGCAGTGGTGAGGTTCAAATGTCAGGCATGTGTGCTGTCTCTTTTTTTTTCTTTTTGGGTCACACCTGGCAGTGCACAGGGGTTACTCCTGGCTCATGCACTCAGGAATTACTCCTAGCAGTGCTCAGAGGACCATATGGAATGCTGGGAATTGAACCTGGGTTGGCTGCATGCAAGGCAAACGCCCTACCCACTGTGCTATTGCTCTAGCCCCATGCTATCTCTTTAAGGCATATTCCTAACTTATTTTTATTCTTAACAGTAATTATTTTTTATCATTGGTCATCATAATTAAACTTACAAACAAAAAATTAGTTTGTTGGGTTTATTTACTAAAACTGAATAGTGATGTTTAAAACTTTTTACTTTTTTTATATCAAACCAAAACACTAATGATAACATCATTTTGGTACCAGAATTACTATTAATTTGCTCATTATCAGCATTATAGTTTGCTAGAAGAAATATGATTATGGCATAGGATGCTAATAGTAGGAAGCACAGAAGCACTTTTCTCATGCCATCTTATAAAATTAAGATGTAAGTAAATCCATAGAACTTTTGAAGTGAATTTCAAGTGGATAAGAGTAAAGTGTTTGTCTCTGGAGCACTGGCAGGAATGACCTTTTGCACAGAGCCCAGAGTAGCCCCTGAACCCTATTTGATATAGCTGCCCCACAAAAAAATGTTGAGTATTTTGGGGGGGGCCTTCCAAACAGTGCTCATTGGGTCTGGAATGCCACTTACAGTTGGGCTGGGCATTTCATTTTGAGGGTCTGTGGATGTGATGTTACTCAGCCCAGCAGTACTGGAGGCCCACAGAACTGCCCAGTGTTGCTCAGGGGCCTTGCAGGCCATGCCCAGTGGTGCTCTAGGTTAAGTGCTTGTTTGTTTTTAAAACAAAGGAGGGGGGAGGGAAGGGAAGAAGAGCAAAATAAACACAGTGGGAGACCACATGTAGTATGCACATCTGAGCTTAGGGTATACTGTGAGTTGCTTCATCTGGAGGGAGAACTTACAGCTTATCAGACCATGGACTGTAGGCCCCCTGTCCCTCTAACTTTTGGGGAAGCCTCATGAGATGATCCCTCTTCTGTGGCCTAGATCAGGTAGGTTTGAGCAGCAGCCTGGGAAAAGCTCCAGAAAATGCCTGACTTCAATGGCAGCCGTTTTCCAGCCCACAATTCATACCACAGTGACTTGGCCTCTGGGCCCACCCTGGAGGCAAAGGACTTGCCTTGTTCTCATATGTGGGAAGGCTATGAAAAGAAAGATCCTTGTTGGCCCAAACATTTAAACAAGAATTACACTAGGGTCTTTTGTTCTCACTCTGACATGGTCAGAATTAATTTAGAAATACAAAAGAGGATTTTTGTTTTTGTTTTTTAAATCAGAGTCACTTAATACAAGCTTGGGGGTGCAGGACAAAGCAAAAACACATGGCTTACATCAATCAAATGGTGTTGGAACATCCTTGGGTCATTATACAGGGCACTGTTTTGCTAGTATTTGGGGAGGCTCCCAACTCCACAACCAAGTCATGGCTGACCTATCTGTGATAGAAGAAAAGCATAGGCATGTGCCCGGGAATCTAAGAAACACATACATAGAGCTAAAGAGACCATAACCTTTTTTTGTTTGTTTTTTTCTTCTTCCTCCCCAGGTTTAATAGTGAAAACTGGCTTTCTGCAAACAACTGAAAACACTGCCCTTGAAAACTCTTTCTTTGGCCCTGATGGAGCTTCTAGATCTTGTACTGTGAGGCCTTTGATAGGACACGCTCTCACCTACTGATCACACAAAGGTGTTTGTCACCATGGCCAGCAAGAGGAAATCTACCACCCCTTGCATGATCCCCGTGAAGACAGTGGTGCTGCAGGAGGCCAGTACAGAGGCTCAGCCTGCGGAGACTTTACCAGAAGGTCCTCAGCAAGAACTGCCCCCAGAAGTGCCTACCACCAGCAGTGAGGCGGCTCCAAGTTCCAGCAGTGCTGACAGCACTGCACTGGCCAACGGGCACCGGAGCACTCTGGATGGTTACTCCTATTCCTGTAGATACTGTGATTTCAAGGCCCAGGACGTGGCCCAGTTTGTGGGACATATTAATTCAGAGCACACAGACTTTAATAAAGACCCAAATTTTATATGCACTGAATGCAGTTTTCTGGCAAAAAACCCTGAGGGGCTTTCTCTGCACAATGCCAAGTGCCACTCAAGTGAAGCGAGCTTTGTGTGGAATGTGGCCATGCCAGACAATCATGTTGTTGTGGAGCAGAGCATCCCTGAGAGCACCAGCACTCCTGACCCACCAGGTGAACCAAATCCCGAGGGGACTGATGGGCAGGCAGAAATCATCATTACCAAAACTCCAATCATGAAGATAATGAAAGGCAAAGCTGAAGCCAAAAAGATCCATACCCTCAAGGAGAATGTTCCCAGTCAGCCTGCTGGTGAGACCTTGCCAACTTCATCTTCTGGGGAAAAGGAGACAAAAGAGGGGGACCACTCCTTTATCAATGGGGGAGTTCCAGTCAGCCAGCCTTCTACCAATTCTGCAAAACGCCCCCATGCCTCCAATGGACCGCTGATAGGAACTGTACCTGTTTTGCCAGCAGGGATAGCTCAGTTCCTATCCCTCCAGCAGCAGCCCCCGGTGCATGCTCAGCACCACCCTCACCAGCCACTGCCCACCTCCAAGTCACTGCCCAAAGTGATGATCCCCTTGAGTAGCATTCCGACATACAATGCAGCCATGGACTCCAACAGCTTCCTGAAGAACTCTTTCCACAAGTTTCCCTATCCAACCAAAGCTGAACTCTGCTACTTGACCGTGGTTACCAAGTACCCAGAAGAGCAACTCAAGATCTGGTTCACAGCCCAGAGGCTGAAGCAAGGGATTAGCTGGTCCCCGGAGGAGATTGAGGATGCCCGGAAAAAGATGTTCAATACCGTCATCCAGTCTGTCCCGCAGCCCACAATCACAGTTCTAAATACGCCCCTGGTGGCCAATACTGGCAATGTTCAACACCTCATCCAGGCCACTCTACCAGGCCATGTGGTGGGACAGCCCGAAGGTACAGCAGGGGGACTTCTGGTCACTCAGCCACTCTTGGCCAATGGGTTGCAGGCTCCAAGTTCTTCCCTCCCTCTGTCAGTTTCCTCTGTCCCCAAGCAGCCACCTGTTGCCCCCATTAACACTGTGTGTTCCAACACCACCTCAGCTGTGAAGGTGGTCAATGCTGCCCAGTCGCTCCTCACAGCATGCCCTAGCATCACCTCCCAAGCCTTCCTTGATGCCAGCATCTACAAAAACAAGAAGTCCCATGAGCAACTGTCTGCTCTAAAGGGCAGCTTCTGTCGGAACCAGTTCCCGGGACAGAGCGAGGTCGAACATCTGACGAAAGTGACTGGCCTCAGTACCAGAGAGGTGCGGAAATGGTTCAGTGACCGAAGGTACCACTGCAGGAATCTGAAGGGCTCCAGAGGCATGCTACCAGGCGAGCACAGCTCCATCATCATTGACTCCCTGCCAGAGGTGCCCTTTTCCCCAGCAGCCAAGGCTCCAGATGGGACCAGCATCCCAACAGCAGCCAGCCTGGCCACCCACCCTTCTGCCAGACGGCAGTCCTGGCACCAGACCCCCGACTTCACGCCAACCAAGTACAAGGAGCGTGCCCCTGAGCAGCTTAGAGTTCTGGAGAGCAGTTTTGCACAGAATCCCCTTCCTCTTGATGAGGAGCTGGATCGTTTGAGAACGGAAACCAAAATGACCCGAAGGGAGATTGATAGCTGGTTTTCAGAGAGACGGAAAAGGGGGACTGCTGAGGAGTCCAGGAGGGTAGATGATGGTGCCCCTCAGGAAGATGATGAGGCTGTGGAGGATGATGGTGGAGAAGAAGATATGGCCCAGGATCTGAGGATCCGTGGTGAAAACGGCTCCCCAGAACTACCCGGTGACCACACCTTGGCAGAACGCAAGGTCAGCCCCATCAAAATCAACCTCAAGAATCTGCGGGTCACTGAAGCCAATGGCAAGAATGAGCTTCCAGGCCTGGAGCTCTTTGAGCCTGAAGATGATGGGTCAAATAAGTTGGCTGAGCAGCCACCAGGCAGAGGGGGCTACAAGAAGACAGCCCAACAGAGGCACCTGCTGCGGCAGCTCTTTGTCCAGACTCAGTGGCCAAGCAATCAGGACTATGACAACATTATGGCCCAGACAGGTTTGCCACGGCCAGAGGTGGTGCGCTGGTTCGGGGACAGCAGGTATGCCCTGAAGAACGGCCAGCTCAAGTGGTATGAAGACTATAAGCGGGGCAACTTCCCCCCGGGGCTGCTGGTCATCACCCCCAGCAACCGGGAGCTGCTACAGGACTATTATACGACACACAAGATGCTGTATGAAGACGACCTGCAGAGCCTCTGTGACAAGACCCAGATGAGCTCCCAGCAAGTCAAGCAGTGGTTCGCTGAGAAGATGGGTGAGGAGACCCGCACTGTGGCAGACACCGTCAGCGAGGACCAGGGCCCTGGCGACCCTCCAGCAGTTCACAAAACGGGGATGGGTGATACCTATTTGGAGGTATCTGAGAATAGTGAACTGTGGGAGCCCAGTGCCCCCGAGGCCAGCTCAGAGCCCTTGGATGCACAGAGTCCCCAGGCTGGACTTAAGTTGGGTAAGGAGGAGCCATGACCATCCCTCTGTGGACATGGTTCATGGGTGGTCACTGAATGCATTGCATGGGCTCTTCACTCTTTTGAGGGCTGTCTGACAGCAGGACAGAAGTGGCTGTTTCAGGGGCAATGGGTGTCAGAAGTGATTGGAACATGAGATAAAGGGGTGAGAATTACTGTTTCATTTTGTTTACTGGCTTTTCATTTTTATTTGCCTACTTATGGGGCCTCCCCCTGTAGTGCTTGCAGGTCCTGGGCTCACTCCCAACAACGCTCAACCCAACAGTATGGGCTTGCTCAGTCCCAGTCAGTTGGTGCTGCTTAGGCCTCCAGCAGTGCAAGAGGCTACTAGAGCTTGGAGAAATAAACTCAGGGCCTCGAGCATGCAGGGCAAGTGCTCATCCTTTTTATGTATCTCTCTGACCCTTGTTTCATGTTTTTCAAATCCGTGGAACAGAGTGCAACTACAGGAGTTCACAGTTTGCTGTTTTTTAGCTGTCAGGTCAATAGGTCAAAATATCACCTGAGTCAGGCAGAGCCATAGCCATTGAGTTATAGGATTTTTGACTATAACAAGACTAATAGGATTTTTGAGGACATTCAGATCAAACTTTTGAACAAAAGGAGAGAGAGAGAGAGAGAGAGCACGTTTCATTGTTGTAGACACATGGAGTGCTTTTTTAATGATGAAAATCCCATATTTTGCATTTTTTATTGTTATTCCTGTCATAGGAAAGTCACCTGCCTTTTTCTTTTCTTTTGAGGTTATGTTTTTTTCTATTTGTTTATTTCCTTATCTATTTTTATTTATTTTTAAATTTTTATTAGTGAAACACCATGAGGTACAGTTTTAGACTTACAATTTTTTGTGCTTGGGTTTCAGTTATACAATTACCAAGTACCCATCCCTCCACCAGTGCCCATTCTCTACCACCAATGATCCCAGTATCCCTCCCACCCCCCCCCAATACCCCCCATACCACCCCGCCTCTGTGGCAGGGCATTCCCTTTTGTTCTCTCTCCTTTTTAACCTGTCTTTTTCAACATATATTGAATCAAGAGCTTGATTTTTTAAATTTGATATAATTTTTATAAAGTCGTTCACAATAATTTATTACGTTCAACACCAATTTTGCCACCATTACGCCTTCCTACCACCATTATTTTGAATTTTCCCAATCATCACCCAAGCCTGCCCCAATAGAAGGCCCTAAATTATTTATTTTGTATTGCTTGTTATAGATATCTGCTAAAAATGATCCAAAAAATTTCTTAGAAGAAAGTGTGTGAAGATTGTTGTATCTCATCCTGGAGCCATTAAGCCCTTGTGTATAAGAGATTACTAACATGTTGTTACAGGTTGAGACTTATGTGCTAATGTTTTTTTTTAATTGAGACCAGCTGCCTTTTACTTTACTCCCTTCCAATGTGGTGTCTACTCTGGTACATCAGTGGTATAGAGTATGAGATATCATGTGTCCACATTTGTGGCTGCACACTCCAGGAATTCTAAAATTTTAAATAGAGTGGTAGAGATGGAGTTAAATTTCTAACAGACTGGTGACTTTGGGGCCTGGAGGCATTTATGCAAGGAGCTTGATTTTTTTTTCCCCCTCAGTTTCTCTAGATCATGGGATTAATACTTGAAAGAACATTTCGGAAGTTAGCTTTATTGAGGACACAATTTTGAAGCCACAGACAAGTGAGATTATTGAGTGTTGATTTTCTAGTTTCTTTTGTTGCTGTTATTTTGGTTTGGGGCTCACATCAGTGATGCTCAGGCCTTACTTCTGGCTTTGTGCTCAGGAATCACTTCTTGCATGGCTTGGGAATCCTGTGGGGTGCCAGAGATTGAACCTGGGCCAGCAGCCTACAAGACAAATGCTCTGCTTTCTGTACTATGGTTCTACCCCAGTTTTTGTTTTGTTCTGTTTGGTGGTGGGGCAGGTTGGGGCTATACCCAGCAGTGCTCAGGACTCCTGTCTCTGTGCTCAGGGATCACTCCTGTTGATTCAGGGGACCACGATATGGGGTGTCAGGGGTTGAACCCAGATAGGCTACATGCAAGGCAAGCACCCTACCCACTGTACTATCACTCCGACCCAGATTTTCCAGAGTCTTGATCCTGAGTCTGTAGGCCTGCCTTTTGCTGCACCTTTAGGTGATTGTGTGTTCCTCCAGGCTGGGTGGCCAGAGCAGGGAACCACTCAGGAGGCTGTGAGGAGGTTTCTAGATTTCTCAAAATTTCTGGTGTATGGACCCTGAGTAATGGGCTGCAGGCCAGCCTGTTCATGGATTGTCCTTAAAGTCCTCCAGAGGTTATGGCCCTCATGGGAGTGCCAGGGGCAGCAGGGAATATTGATTTTTGCCTCCACATCACCCTCCACCCCACTCCTGGGGAATGCTTATGTCCCTGGCTTTGGCTATGTCACCAAAAGTGCACATATTTCTGGGAACTTTATAGTATTAGATAAATTTTTATCAGTCATAATTTTTCTTTTGGTAGTATTGAGATCAAACTCAGAGCCACAGCCATGGGTAGCATGTGCTCTACTTTCCAGCCACATCCCTGGACTCAGCAATGTATTGTAATGACAATTTTAGTAAAGCATATCCTTTGATTACATATAACATTAAACTATTTGGAATGATTAGAAACTTTGAAGGCAGTTCTAATTGAGACGTTCAAGAGAGCCATGTTGAAGAAATACGTCCCCCAGGGTACACACCAGATATGCTTTTCCTCACTAAACTGCGATGCATTTGCCTATTTCCTGGAAAGAGACGACCTGAGAGTGTATTTTGAGTTGATTTTTCTATCATTTCTTTCTTTAATTTTTTAAAAATTTCCCCCCATTTTCTTTAAACACCATGATTTATAAAGCTGTTCATGGTGATTTGTTACAGGTATTAAATATTTTAACACCACTCCCACCACCACTGTCACCTTCCTCCAACATTGTCTCCATTTTCCCAACCACTCTTTAAGTTTACCCCTGTAGGATGCCCACAATAATTTATTTTATGTTGCTTGTTACCACTAAATGACTAACAGAATGATCAAAAAGTATTTCATTGAGGAAAAAGTATTTCATTGAAAAAAATTTGTGAAACTTGTATCTCACCGTGGAGACATTAAGTCCTTGTCTGAAGGATTATTAAGCCATTGTTGCAAGTTAAGCCTTCTATGTTAATGCTTTTATTAGTCAAAAGCTCTTGGATTCTGTGTTACATCCCATCCAATCTGGTGTAAGATGTCCAGGAAATTCAGAATATTTAACTGGACAGTCTGTCCGGATGCACAGCAGTGGCTCCAGGATGTGGAAACAGCAGCCAGGGCTTTGTTTGGTGGGGAGCTTGCCCACCCCCCTCAGAAATCACCCTGGAGGTCTCAACCAGGAGGTCTGAGAAATGTTTGCGGCTAGCTGATCTCTTTTGAGACCTTTTTTTTTTTTTTTGCTTTTTGGGTCACACCCAGCAATGCACAGGGGTTACTCCTGGCTCATGCACTCAGGAATTACCCCTGGCGGTGCCCAGGGGACCATATGGGATGCTGGGAATCGAATCCGGGTCGGCCACATGCAAGGCAAACGCCTTACCCACTGTGCTATCACTCCAGCCCCAAAGCTAGCTAGCTAGCTAGCTTGCTTGCTTGCTTGCTTGCTTGCTTGCTTGCTTGCTTCCTTCCTTCCTTCCTTCCTTCCTTCCTTCCTTCCTTCCTTCCTTCCTTCCTTCCCTCCCTCCCTCCCTCCCTCCCTCCCTTCCTTCCTTCCTTCCTTCCTTCCTTCCTTCCTTCCTTCCTTCCTTCCTTCCTTCCTTCCTTCCTTCCTTCCTTTTTTGGGCTCATACCCAGCAAAGCTCAGGGGTTACCCCTGGCTCTGTCCTCAGTAATTACTCCAGGCAGTGCTCAGGAAACCATATGGGATGCCAGGAATCGAGCACTGACTGGTCAGCTGTGTGCAGGGCAAACACCCTTCCTGCTGTACTGTCACTCCAAACCCAGCATGCAGCTCTTTAAACGAAAGAGACTTCATGGTTGGTTTGTCAAGAAGGAGACACAGTATTCAGTAGATGAAATCAGGAAACTTTAGGATTGGGTGGTGGGTGGGGTTGGAGGAACGTTACATGGAGAGGAGTTGAAGGTGATCTCAGGATTCTGATTTGGGTAACAAATAGAGGTGGTTCCTATAACTGAAGACTTCAGGAAGAGGAGCACGTCTGGAAAGAGAAGGAAGTTTAGTTTGCTTTTGTGTTCTGACTGGCTTAGAGGTAGGTCTTTGCAGTAGGTGTTGGCTCAAGTGTGAAGTTTTGGAAAGAGATCGGGACTAAAGAGTTAAAGTTTGGGGCACTGAAGCAGAGGTTAGATAGCTCAATTGCAACAAATAACTAATCGATGAAAGGAGGTTCAGCATAATTAGTCAAATACGAATCAAACCACAGTGAAGGAGAATACAAACTCAAATGGGTTTTTGTACATTATTTATAGCCCAAAGATGGAACAAAATCAGCAGTTGAACAAGAGGGGTATGTACATAAAGTCAGGTATTAACCACAAAAGGAATGAGATTCTGGTACATACTTCAACATGGATGAATCTTGAAAACATTATGTATGCTAAATGAAATAAGCAAGCTTGAAAAACACATATTCTACTCACATATTAGAATAAGAAAATTCACAGAGGTGGGCCTCAGGGAGAGCTCCAAAGGCTGGAGTGTATCTTTGCATGAGGGAGCCTCAGGGCGATTTCCAGCACAGCACAGCCCCCGTAGATCACCAAGAGAGACCCCACCCCCACCCCAAGCACCAGGTACCAAACTGGGAGTATCTCTCAAGCACCAGATGTTGCTCCAAAACAAAACAAGCACAGCAACAGAAGGTAGAATATGGGTTATCAGTAGAGGGGAAGGAAGAAAGGGGAACTGTTCTTTCATGAGCTGATGACTAAAGTTCTGGATCTAGGATGGTGGTTATACAGCACTGGTGATATACCATTTAATCACATACTTAAAAACCAAAAATTGCTGAAATGGTAGGGTGTGTGTTATATCTGTTTTCCACATTTAAAAAAATGCTAAACTAAAGCATTGGCTCCCTTAAGCTGCCAAATGCAACACAGACCCAGTGTGAAGCAAAATGTTGCTGTCTGAGATGGGGCAGAGCTGGAGTTGGCAGGGATCACAGTGCAGGGCATGTTCTTCTCTACTGGGCTGATCCTGTGCGTGCAGGCGGGCCTTCTGTTGATTGTTCATGACCACCAGCAGCCTCTGTGATGGAGTCACATTGAAGCTGTAAACACGCTTCTCAGACATGACTTTATTTTTTAAAAATTTTTTTCACAAGCTTTTTAAAAAAATTTTATTTATTTATTTTTAAAATTTTTATTAGTGAAACACCATGAGGTACAATTGTAGACTTACAAATTTTTGTGCTCAGGTTTCATTTATACAATGATCAAGTACCCATCTCCCCACCAGTGCCCATTCTCCACCACCAATGATCCCAGTATCCCTCCCAACTCCCAATCCCCCCCATCCCACCCCGCCTCTGTGGCAGGGCAGTCCCTTTTGTTCTCTCTCTCCTTTTGGGTGCTGTGGTTTGCAAAAGAGTCATTGAGTGGCACTCATGTTCAGTCTAAAGTCTACTTTCAGCATGCATCTCCCATCCTGGGAGGATCCTCCCAATACCCTTTATGTGGTGCTCCCTTCTCTATCTGATTTGCCTTTCCCCCTAGCATGTGTGGCTGTCCTTCAAGCCATGGAATAAACCTCCTGGTACTTATTTCAGCTATTCTTGGGCATTAGTCTCCTATTTTGTTACTTTATGTTGCCCAGATGAATGCAATCTTTGTATGTCTGCCCCTCTCTTTCTGACTCATTTCACTTAGCATGATACTTTCCATGTAGTACCACTTGTATGTAAATTTCATGACTTCATCTTTTCTAATGGCTACATAGTCATTGTGTAGATGTACCAAAGTTTCTTTAACCAGTCATCTGTTCTTGGGTGCTCAGGTTTTTTCCAGAGTCTAGCTATTGTAAACAGTGCTGCAGTGAACAAACAAGTACAGATGTCACTTCGACTATACATTTTTGTCTCTCTGGGATATATCCCCAGGAGTAGTATTGCTGAGTCAAACGGGAGCTCAATTTCTAATTTTTGAGAATCATCCATACTGTTTTCCAAAAGGGCTGAACCAGTCAGCATTCCCACCAGCAGTGAAGGAGGGTCCCCAGATATGACTTTAGAGATGGAAATTGCAAGGAAGATGGCAGTGGGTGGGAGAACAGAAGCCAGACCAGCTGCTTTTTGTTCAGTTGGAGTGCTGTGACCTGCAGAGTGGGAGGGGAGGGTGCAGGAGGCAGAGGAAGCCCAGACCCCAGATCCGGGTAGGTGGGCCCAGGGATGACAGGCTCCTGCTATGGCTGCATCTCCATAGGTGAGTGGGGAAGCTCCAAAGCCTGTGACACCAGCATCCTGTCTGTAATCCACTTACTCCTCTCCTGATGGGAATATGGGTACCATTGGTGGGAAGGCAACTCCTAGAGGAAGAGGCTCCCGTGCTGCCGCACCACACCAAAGGGCAGGAGCTGGCTGCTGGAGGGATATGGGGGCTGCTGACATGGAGGTGACAGTTGTATTTTCTCCCCAGAAACAGACTGAATGGTAACTGATTGTTACAAGGGACCGGCCAGTCTGGGATGCCACCGGCTGCAGGGAAGGCCCAACCCAACTCTCTGCTGCCACTCGTCATTCCTGTGTCAGGCCACTGGTCACCCAGGAGAGCTGCTGGAGGCTTCGCCAGTAGCCCAGAGCCCCGGCCGCCTTCTGCTGCTGTCACCAATCAGGCTGGGAGAGTAAAGTTCTCGCCAATTCTTTCTCCCACAACGTAGGACCTTTCCTTTGCCTTCCAGTGGACAAAATAGTTCAGATTTCATATTCACCGATGCAGAATCAAGTTTTTAACCTAGAGGTCTACCTATGTGCATTTAATAAAACATCAGATTTTAAACCCTTTTATGACATAGAAACCTTGGTTAGCCAAGCAGTATGTTGTCTTTTCATCATCTCTGAAAATGCCTGGATCTGTTCTCTGGAGACGGCTGTGCCATACATTCCCTCTCCTTCCCTCTCGGTGGGCTTCGCTGAACACAGTGCTACATCAGAGCCCCATGGGCCCCACTGTGCTCTCCAAGAAAGGCAGTGCCTTTGAAGAGACCTCTGCAGCGTGGCTGGCACTGCCTGCCAGGTTTGCTGTGGCCCGGGGAGAATCAGCAGAATTCACTGAGAGCCACAGTTTGACAGATGGACTGGTTACATGACTGGTGTTCAGCATATTCGTCGACTTGTTAACTGCCATTCTGCTTTCTCATGGGCGTTTGAATCATGAACCACAGCTTCGCAGTTAAGGATCAACTAAAGAAATGTATTGTTAAATCAAGCAGTTAAAGAAACATGTTAAGCCTAACGTACGGATGCCCTTGTGTGCTGCCGCCTTTTAAAGCTCTAGATTTGTTTAGAGGAAAATTGACAACAGAGCAGGGATGAGGGGTGGAGAGCAAGTGTAGAGCCACAGCCTATAGCTTTGCCCACTGCCACCGAGCCAGCCTTTCCCGATCCCTTTGTCCGTGCTCACTGCCAAGCCGCTGTGCGCTCGCCTTTGGGAAGGAAGCGCCGCATGTGCCCAGCAGGAGCAAGATGAGGAGCTCAGAGTTCCGGGAATCCATGTGTGGCGGTTGGCAACACAAAGACCTGCTGTGAGGGGCTTGGCAGAACTCCCAGAGTATGCCTGATCCCACACCAAGGATCCTGCCTGCCTGCAGGCGCTCAGCCTGGACTCCGGGCCTCCCTGCACAGGTCTTATATTTCTAGCCGCAGTCTTGGAAACAAGATCTCTATCTGCTTTTCCTAACCTGTGTCCTGTTTTTTAAATAGAGAAAAATCATAGCAAAAGGTGCCTTTGAGACATTGGAAGACCTGCTATCAAGCCGTACTGCACAGCGAATCCAAGAGCCACTGTTCCACTGGCAGCTCAGCCTGCTCAGGAGGCCACCCGCTGCCCAAGTACCAAGATGCTGTGCAGTCATCTCCTGGGCTAGGCTGGGCATGAGGAGACCCCAGAGAAGGGGCTGGAGCTTCGGGCAAGAAATGCCATGGAGTGCTAGGCACTGTCCTCCTCTGTCCCACCCAGAGGACTTGTCCAATCTGGCACCTCACTGGCATGGCTCCGAGGGTAAAGAAGGCGGCAGCACCTCCTGCCTTCCAGGAGTAAGGTATTTTTTTGGAAACCAAAAGCCCTTGAACCATTGTTTTTCCTAAAGTGTCTTCTGCCCTCCCTGTTCCAGTCGGGACCATCTCTTACTTGTCTCAAACAGGTGACTTGTGAGTACGGGGCGCTATTCATCTTTTTTTTGGTACCTTTTTTTTATTTGGGGGAAGGGAAAGATGAAGCTGTTAGCCCCAAAAGTCTCTTGGGGGAACTCCCAAGAATGGTGACTGCCTTCCTTTAGAGAACAGATTCCTGGAATTCTGCCTTTAGTGCTATGTACATGCAGATTAATTCATATATTCACATATACCATGCAAATACTGTTTTACTAATGAACTGTGCATCTGATGCGGACACTGAAACTCAGTAGCACATGGGTGTTGGGGGGGACAGCCATGGTTGAGAGGAATGTTGGCCCCTGGGCCCCATGGGGCCCCCAGAACAGTGCTGTCTCAGCCTGTCTGGCAGCACCCTGGCACCCTTTCGCAGCCTGCATGCACTGGCCCAAGGGGTTTGCTTTAGGTTTCTTGGTGGTTTTGTCTTCATATTTCTCTAACAACCCAAACAGCCAAACAAACAAAAAATGTTTCCTGGTGGACACGTTCATGCCAGAAGTAAAGAGCTACCTGACCTGCATGGGCTCCTCCTTAAGGTGAAATTGTGGTCCTGCCTGCAGGCCTAGGCCTGTTGTGTTCACAGATGGTGGCCAGAGCCACAGTGTGAATGACTGCCAGGTAAGGAGCGCTATTGTTGGAACAGGGCCTGCTCTGGCCCGCGTGCTCGGGCTAATGAGAACGCGGCTGGGGTTGCCTCCTGAAGAAGATGATCAGAGGGAATGGCGGGTCCCTCCAGGGACGCCGCAGCAGGCACTTGGGGCTTGGGGGCCGGGGGAATGCGAGGCCATGCACATGTCAGCCAGGGTACACAGAGATGCACACTGGCTGCAGTGGGAACTGCACTCTAGACCCAGGCAGTGTTGCCTTGGGCAGAAGATGGTATGCATGGGAAAGTGGAGAGGAGGTGAGGTCTGCTGCTGAGAAAAGCCTGTTTGGCTGATTATGAACTTTACAGGGAATGTAGATCTGGGTTTGAGAGATGCAGCCAGATCCCCATTCTGTAAGGGAAATCTGCATTTCTGGTACATAATCATGCATATTTTGCCTTATTTTAACTGTTGACTATCAAGGAGCAGGTGGTTCTTTTTGGGAGCTCACAAGTCCTAGGGTGCCACCCACTAGGGTTTGGTAGGACTGTGGCTCAGCACCCCTGCTTTTGGTCACAGCTGGTGGCTCTCAGACCCCAGAGCCCTCAACGTGACCCTCAGACTTCCCTGCTCTGGAGACAAAAGCAGGCAGCCGGTGCTGTGGGACTTGTCAGGCGGTGCTTGTAGCTTCCCACATTGTACTCACGGCCCAGGATCTGAGCACATTCTCCTGGATGACATGCTGGCAGTCCAGTGACATGTCCCATGTCACCCGCTCTCCTGTCCTGCTGCCTTCCATGGGGTCAGGGTGGGGGGGCATCAACCTTTCTGGAGAGAGGGTTCATGTCTCTCTGTCCCTCACCCAGCATCCTGCTGTGCCGCCTTGTCACCTGTCTTCCTAGTACTCTTCTTGGACCAAAAGCTCCTGGTGGGAGCAACTTTATCAGCTCATGTCAGAGCACATGTGGATAAAAGCACTGAGTGGAGAAAAGTGGCCAGAAGGAAATCTTCAAACCAAGCCTTGAGTTTGGGCTTTTTCCGAGGTTTTCCTTTGTGCAGCATTTATCCGGGGAAGTTTCTCTGTCTGGCTCACCTTTTGCAGAAGGCGTACTTTCTGTTAAGTGTATATTTTCATTCATCTCGTTGCTTTGCAAGGCTTGTATGTGGGAGAAGGAAAATCCTCTCTGGTCACGGGTCTTTGTGGCCGGTAGTGCTAGGCTGGAGATGGGCCTCAGTCTCCTTCTCCAGGTTGGAACCCCCTTCGGTGTTTCCCAAATCAGCTTCCTTCATCCCCCTCTCCCTTGATACACCAGCTCTCTTCTCACCCGCACCTGGGGGCGGCACATCTTCAAAGGACTTAGGGAGCCACTACCTTTGAGTTCCACCATATGAGAAAGTGGGGAGATGCAACCCACACCCCTCAGAGCCTTTTTCCACGGAGGGCTGGTCTGGGAACACACCATGCCTCTCAGCACAGCTAATTGGGCAGCCTCTTCACAGAGGGGTGCCGCTGATTTTGGCCAAAGGGCTGATCACAGGGAACTGCTCCACAGCTACCCAGTCCAGTCTCCAATCCAGAGGAACCATCAGGCTTCGTTTCTCATTGGTCTGTTGGAATCTGTTCCCTGCCTGGGTCCTGCTGGGAAGGGGACAATGAGGGCTCCCCCAGTCTCCTGACCTAGCCCTGAGTCCGCACATAGTTGAGGGGAAAGTTGCATCTGGCTCTCGTGGCTCATGAAGGAACCTGCTTTTTGGTTCCTTGATGCACTCCCTTTCAGGATCTGCTGGCTCGTGGATCTCTGGCGTGACGCTGACCCATCCTTCCATCAGAGACCTGACAGCTGGGTACATCAGGAACCCACCAGTCTCCTGCTCTCAGGTCAGGGGCAGAGACAGGGGCAAACACCCATCTCTTTATTCTCAGCAGAGCTGCGCAGCTTTACTGGGAAGATTGAGTTACTGCCTCATTGTCACCAGACCCAAGTCTTTCGTGGCCTTAGATCCTGGCCCCTTGCTTCTGCCCAGGAGAGCAGAGGGCTGGGTGCGGCACGAAGGGCCCTTTCCTGAGGGCACCGTGGTCTTCTCTTTGGCATTCATGGTGCTGTCCCCCAAGTCCGGGGGCCTGAGAGGAGCCTACTGCCATTAGTGCCTCTGCCCTACCCACTGAGGGATGCATGTGAGTTGGGGCAGGGTGGGGGCGGGGGGATTTGGGGGGGGGTTGCTGAACAGCTTTTCCTGTTGATACTTTCTAGCTTGTTTCTTTGCCTAATAGATGGGTAGTGCAACAGTTTTCTCAGTATGACTGGAAGGGGGGTGGGGTGGGGTGGTGTCTGGGATAAAGGCTGGTCAGCTGCAAAATGTGGAAAGCTCTAGAAAGCCTGTGGTGTATGAGTCCAGCCGGCTAGCAGCACTGTGGAGGGTGTGTCTGCCCATGGCACTTGGTAACCCTGTGATTTGTGTTTAAAGAGGGAAAGTGGGGCCAGGGAGATAGTTCAGTGGTAAAGCCCTGGGCTTGTCAGATTCCTGGACCCCAACTTTCCCCTCTGTATAGTATTTATAAGGGATCTTGTCATGTCCCCTGGATCCTGCCTGTACATGTAGCTCTTGCAGTTTGCGTGAAATGCAGGTCCCAGGGTGGTTGGGATAACTGGAGCTAAAGGAGAGGGACAAATGTCCTCCCCCGAGCAGGCAGCCAGTGTGGTAATCAGGCCCTGAGTGCTGGGGGGAGAAAAGTGGCCACCCCCATGTGGTGGAGTTCCCATCCTGCTTCTGAGCAGCCCCTTTGTTCTGCTATGTCAGGAGGGCCAGACTGTGCCATAATTGTTATTAAAAAGAAAAAAATAGGCCAGCCTCCCCGGCCCCGCGGGCCATTGTTCATTGAAAGTTGACTGAGCGCAGC